ACCCTGCCAGAGCCCCCCTGTCTTCACCACCTTCTACGGAGGTGGCTTAGCCACGAAGCCGGATGGCTCAGGGCACTCGGGCAGTGAACACAGGCAGAAACCGCGTACAGTCGCGGATTCCTGCCTGCTCCAAAGCGCTGCAGACCGGAAATCCCCAGGGGAGGTTTTTGATAACCATCCTCAATGGCTCTCAAGAGACCGCAGAAGTAATGCTGCTGGCCTGCTCCCAGTCTCCTTAATGTTTAAGGGTAATCTTCAAATTCTGGGAGGTAGGGATAAGAATTACAAATATCCTTACACATACCACTCGGCCCATTCAAGCAGTGTACTGGATCTCTTGTGTGTCTAGAGATAAAGTCGACCTCTTCTCAGAGGTCATGGTACACTTTAGCAATGATAGAGATAATCAGCCTGTAAGCGTGACATTGCAAGGCAGCTCAGATTTAAGACCATATAACATGGCTGACAGATGGCTCACCAAAAAGGTAGAAGTGACCCAAAATAAAAGATTAATTTGGGCCAAAGTTGATACTAAGGCAATATCAGACTGCCTTAAAGCAGAGAATGCTGCCACCTGGCTAGAACAATCCAGTCATCTGCTACTCACTGACTGTCAGCCTTCAACACATTATCTAATCTCTCTAATATCCTGAAGAAACACCTAACAACTAAACCTGCTACAAAAAGAGCCCAAGTGGGTAAACCCCATTGGTTTGATCCTGAATGCAAGCGGCTGAAAAAGAAATTGAAGGCAGCCATGAGGCTCACCTAGAGAAATCCTACTGCTCATATACAAGCTGAGATGTTGCACACAAGAAGGTAATATAAAAAAATTACAAAATTAAAGAAAACAAGTTTTGCCATTTCAATCTGGTCAGAACTCGAATTAGCTGCCAAAAGTCATAATTCAATAATATTTTGGCACTCTATAGCAGGTGTCCTAAAGGAACAGAGATTTACATCTGATATACCAATCTCTGCTGAGGACTTGTTTCATTGGGGAAAAGATTACTACCTTTGTTAGTGAATGGAAACCTTTATTGACTTTTTGCTAAAAATAAAATAAATGTGTGATTTATGAGTTTGATGATTAAAAAGAATAGAATATGAAAGAAGGGAGACATACATTTAAAGAGAAGATGAAAAAATAAATGCATTTACAATTGCTTTAAAGTAAATCAGAGGCTGCTCTTTTATCTTTCTTTTTCTTTTTTCTTTTTTTCTTGTTTATCACTTCAGTTTTTTTCCTTTTTTTAATTCTGCCTTTACTATTTTCAAGTAATGCAGAGATACATAATATTATTTCCTATTTTCCCCACAACAATAATCCTTTGGCTGAGAGAGCGTGGCTGGCCCAAAATTACCCAGCTGCACCAAACTGGCTCTCAAATTTGCATCATTTTTGTTTCAGTTTTAAAAAACTATAATAATAGCTACTTTTTAAAAAAAATAAAATTTATGATATTTAATAATTGCTTTTATTTATTTCAGGTGTTTAGGAATAAACCCAGGGGTGGGATTCAAATGTTTTAACAACTGGTTCTGTGGGCATGGCTTAGTTGGTGGGCATGGTTTGGTGGTGATTTTATTGGCTGGGTGTGGCCAACTCAATATCACTCACATCGAGATATACATCTCCTCACCTGACCTCTCATGACTGTGGGGACGCTGCAACAGTTGTAAGTTGAAAAATGGTCATAAGTCACTTTTTTTCAGTGCCACTGTAACTTTGAACAGTCACTCCACACAAGCAAAGTACCAGTAAAGGAAGGAAAAAAACTCTAGAGAAGTTCCAGAGACAGGAAATCTAGTCCTGTCAAGAATGTAATAAGGGTTAATGGAGAGGCAGTTTTTGTAAGCAACACCAGAATGTTTCCTTCCTGCCTTCCTTACAGGATTCGGCCAGTAATTTCTTCTAACAACCAGTTCTCCGAACTGCTTAGAATGCAACCGGTTCTAGCAATTAGGTGCGAACTGGTAGAATCCCACCCCTGGTTACACCAAGGAAATGTTCTTATTTTGTAAATGTAATATAGGTAGTCTCCAACTTACAACAGTTTATTTAGTAACCATTCAAAGCAGGAAACCGATTCAAATTTTGTAACAACCAGTTCTGTTGGCACGGCTCGGTAGCCATGGTCATGTGACTGGATGGGCGCGGCTTTTTGCAGCATCCCCCTCCCCCAATTTTTTTGCCCTTCTGGGCCTCAGGGAAGCCTCCTGGGGGGACATTTTTGTTTCAAGAAGGCTTCCCTGAGGCTCAGGAAGAGAAAAAATGGAGCCTAGAGTGGGGGCACAGCACCTCCCTGCGCTCCATTTTGGGGCCTCCAGGGCCTCAGAGAAGTCTCTGAAGCATTTTTTCTCCCAGGAAGCTTCCCTGGGGCCTAGGAAGGGGGAAAAAATGGATGGGGATGGGGTGTATATGCTGTACACTGCCTCCATTTTTTGCCTTCCTGGGCCTCAGGGAAGCCTCCTGGGAGAAGCAGTAAGTAAGTGAGGGGAATCCCAGCACAGCTGCTATAGGAACAGCTGATCATCGGGAGGGGGGCAGAAATACCTTAAGGAGTAGAATGCAGGGAATGGAAGAACGAAGTCAGGGATGTTGGGCTTGCGCGCAATATTGTGCATGTGCAATGAGTACTGACTGGGCAGGGAGGTGCAGGCAGAGAAGTGGGGCCAGCCAGGGGCATGATTTGCTGGTTCTCCGAACTGCACAGAATCATAGCAACCAGTTCTATAGAACTGGTCCGAACCGGTAGAATCCCCCCCCCCCGGTTCAAAGTCACAACAGCACTGAAAAAGTGACAAGTGATTTTTTCACACGACCATTGCAGCATCCCCATGGTCACATGATCAAAATTCAGAACCTTGGCAACTTATTCATATTTATGATTTTTGCAGTGTCTTGGGGTCATGTGATCTTCTTTGTAACCTTCTGATCAGCAAAGTCAATGGGGAATCCATATTCATTTAAAAACCATGTTATTAATTTAACAACTGAAGTTATTCACTTAACAATTGTGGCAAGAAAGGTCATAAAATGGGACTGAATTTATTTAACAGCTGTCTCATTTAGCAACAGAAATTTTGGGCTCCATTATGATCATAGTTTGAGGACTACCTGTATATCTTTTCAAAGCTGGAAAATTGATATAATTAGATAATTAAAAATACATTGAACTTTTGTGGAAAAATATTGTAAAAATGATTAATAATTCAAGAAGGTTATATAGGTATTTCTATGTTAATAATATTATTAACCATAACTCCATTGCATTTCTTGCGTTGAAGATTGCAAGTTATATTTGAAGATACCAAGATGGAAGTATAATTTCAATCATTGTTTACATGATAAATTTACCCTCTTGCATAGTCCTATATTTGGGTTGTCGGGAGGGTAGAGGGTGATACAGATACTGTGGGTTACTTTATTTCCAATAACTTTGGAATATCTAAATTTGTGAAAAGTTTTTTTGATTTCACACTTTGGCCCATATGAAGTGACTAAAACTCCTAAGTAAATATCAATATTGGAATTATCTTGAAAAGTTCTAAATCTACGTTATTTTTATAAACAATTAAAGACAACCACTAAGCTGGATATTGATCATTTGCAAGAACTCTGAAATAAAACATCAGAATAACCCTTATTAACAAATCAACTGCTATGGGTCATTAATAATTATCATTTTAATCTTATTGAGCCTTAATAATAAAATAACATTGCTATGTTTATTACCATCTTAAGATAAAACTGAACCAATATGATTCAGCAAAAGATTCTTCTTTATGTTTAGCTAAACTTAATCCCTTATGTAATAATTACGTTACAAAATGTAAAACAGATGAGACACTACTCAAATTATTTGAAATTATACTATTACTACTAAAATTGTGTTTAATTTCTTTAAGCTTGTTAGTGTCAAGTTAAAAAGAGCAATATTATTTAAAAAATGAATATCAGGTTTAATTCTATAACCAAAAATACGGTATCTAACACTACAAGATGAATTACAGATCTATCAGATTTGGACAGCAATAAAATACATTGTAATTCGATGTTAGAAATACAGAGCAACTCCAGATTTACAATTACAGATCACCAGTATATCTTTACTTTCTATATATGAGCTGGCTATCAAATTTATTAAAGCATTTCTTAATAAATTTAATAGCTAGCTCATATATAGAAAGTGAAGACAAATTAGATCGCTTAATTTTCTTTCTGTAATACAAAAAGGTTCTTGCTTCCTTTTTTGCTTTTTCCTCATTTTTCTTTGTCTATTTTCCCTTTGGTATATTAAAGGAATACAAATAAACTTTTAAAATAGTACTAATTTCAAATATTGCAGTGCAAAATTATTGGTTCTATATTCTTTATTTTTCATAATGCAAATTATTTGCTCTAAAAGTATTGAAGTGAAGCTAATAGTTTCTTATGAAGATACATATAGTTTTGTGTATGTGTGTATTTGTATGTATTGTATGTATAACAAAGCCATAGAAGTATTTAAAAAATTATATCATTAGTACTATTTTTGAAAAAAATATACTACTTTCCCACAATCAAATCTTGAAATGCTAACTTAGTTCACATAATATTTCTGGAAAAGATATATCCTAGGAATAAATGAAATTGTCTTTAACTGAGGCATCTAAAGCCCATAATGTTTGAATGTGGTTTAACAAAGCTGATTTTACATTTGATAATTAGGCCAACGAGACCTTTCTATTTTTCTTCATTACATAATCACTTCAGAAGAGATGATCATCAAAATGAAATGTTTCTGCTACTAAGAGAAAACAGAGCTAATAAATAAGCAGTTTCACTGACACTGCAAATTATGTAAAAATAGACTTCTTAAGAGTATTGTGCAAGTTAAAATATGATTATTTCTTAAGAAGAATAAGGCAAAAGTGGTTTTAAACCTATCAATATTTGTTTATTAAAATATATCTGTGCAGTGTTGTGTGATAATGAACCTTGTGTCTTATTTCAGAGAGATTCCCCCTCTACATCCAGACAGTCCCCAGCTAATGGCCATAGCAGCATTAACAATTCTATTTCGGTAAGACCTCCAGTTCTAGACAGAGAGTATTACAGTGTTGTTGGTGCTTATGTACCATTCTTTTTATATGTTCAATCAAAAATTGTGTTCTATTAATAAAATGAAGAATACTTAGAATTCCCTATTTTTTCTTATTCAGTGGTTTATTCAGTAATATAATTTTCTAATCAAAATCCCTTTAATGAGTTGTATTCAACCATCAGGCAAAAGTTTTAATCATCTTGAAATATGCTTGTTATTTTTATCCTGATTAGCTCAAAGTTAAGCAAAAAGAATAATTTCCATTTTGAACTTTTGTTTGTGTTTTTAAGCAAAACGTGTAAAACAGATATTTGTGGCTTTCAAGATCTAGGCCTCATCATCATTATTACTATTGTTATTATTAAAGTTCTCTAGATTACCACATTGGTTTCCGCTATCTGAGTTAACGAATTGGTGTGTCACCTGCTATTGTGGTATGTGCACATATTTTGTGAAATATGAGCCTTGCCTGAATATGAAAAGCGAAAGAAACTGTCTTTAAACTGCATTTATAAGCAAGCTATTAACATCACATCTTTAACACAAAGTGCTGTTCTTTTTACCATATATATGTTCAGGCAAAAAGATATTAGTAAACATTGTTGATATTGCTGCTGTTTCCTTTTTCTTTTTCTGTGAACACACATGGTAAAAACTTAAAAATATCTGTAGAAAAATGTTGCTTCAAAAATTTCTTTGTATTTCTCTTGTCAACACTTAACTAAATATTCTTAAAACTTCTGGAGAAGTTCAAAAACTGTTCAAAATATTGCAATTACTTTTTGATTTAAAAAAAAACCTGATTAAATACTAAAATGAATACAATTAGAAATATATATTTAGTCCTGTAATCTTATGTAATACCATTAAAACAAGATTTTAAATAAATATATTAGCTTCAATTTGTAATTACAATATTGATCAATATGAATGCCCCATCAGGAATACAGTTTGAATAGTAAAATTACTTTCCCTTGTTTAAGGAATTTTTGTGTTGAAGATGATGAATTCTTTATTAAAAGCACACTTTCTGTCTGCTTAAATTTTATCTGCTTCAGCTTGCTGCTAAACAATCTGAGTTTGACATTTTCTGAAGATGATTATTGTTAATACCTCTAAAATAGCTTTGACATTAAAACTGTTACCTATTTTCAAAGTAAGATGAAAAATTATTATTCCTGGGTTGACTTTATTCTGCAGGACTTGCCATCAACCACACAACCAAAAGGACGACAGGTATAACTTAGTTGCTTCATACCATTTTCTCCTTACCATCTCAATTTTTTTATTTCATTATATGCTGATTCAGATTTTACAGCTTTTATCATTTTGTATTTTATTCACATGGCTGATCAATACACGTACTATTTATCATGTGGTACTCCTATGAGACTAATTTGTTTTTTCTTACTAACAGCTTCTCCATTCACTTTCATGTTGTCTGTCAGCTCCAGCATTCTCATCAGATTTCATTTGATTTGATTTGATTATTTTGATTTGCTATTTTGTCATGTTATTCGTATGCATTAGATCTTATCCAATCATGTATTGTGGATATATTTGTCTTAATAAACCTATAATATATATAATTGTTGCTTTCTAGTAGCTTTATTGCCCTTTATTGAGAGCAGGATGGCTCTTCAAATAAGATAATAAACAATGAATTCTGACTTTTTATAAATGATCAGGCTGAAAGTGCAAATGTTGTATAATTAAATGTATTAAATTTAATTAATTACAAAACTTAAAAAGAACAGGAAAGCAGCCTTTTTTAAATTAAAGAGTTGTGGGGATTCTCGTTTAGCACTGTTGCTGTTGAAAATTGTTTTCACATAAACACAGAGGCTGGAGAAATACTTTGGTTTTTATTTCTTGCAGAAGTAAAAGCAAGTAGGGAGGCACATCCAGCTGCTACTCTTTATTTATTATTGGACTCCTGTAAGAGTTTTTTTTAAATTAGGGGTTTTTTTGTTTTAATAAAATAAAAGCAATCATCCATTATTGTTGTAAGTATCTTTAACTCAGATATACACTGATGCTATAATGTAAAATTGCAAATTTAAAAAATAAACAGTGGAAATCAAAACCCTTTATGTCAGTTGGTTCAATGGATTTTCTATCTGCCCCACTGTAAGGGCCAGATTCTCTCCCTTTCAGACGATAAGAATGAACTTTTGAAAACTGGGCATTTCAAAAGGAATTCTTTATTGAAAAGGAAGACAGCAAGTCAAATTCAATGCAGGGTCTGATATCCCTCCAGGCATGCAGCTTACATAAAGGGAGTTAGAACCCTCCCCTTAGTCCGGTGTGGATTTCGTCAATACAAAGAAAGAAGCAACATGTTAATTCCCCCCCCCCCCCTTTTTTTTTTCCTGGGAACATGGTTGAGAAGAGATTCTCAGGAAGTTTCTTTTGGAGCTGGAATTTTTATGGCCCCTTCTCTTCTTGCTATCTCTCCTAGAGGTGACAAGTTTCCAGGCATCTGGGCTCTAGTCCAGCGGTCACCAACTGGTGGGCCGCAGCCCACTGGTGGGCCATGAGAAAATTTTGGTGGGCCGCAGAGAAATCTCACCCCCAGAGCATCTCCCCAAAGCAATTAATCCAGGCTGCGCAGAAACACAAGGCTGAGCTGCCCACATGGCCCACGGAAACCCTCCCCGCCCACTCACTCCTTACCCAGTAAACTTGCCTGCTAAATGGCTATTTTTCCTTTTTCTGACCATCATCTGTTCTGCTGTGCCAGGAGATTTAGATTAGCTAGGAAGCAGGAAATGGTTGGATTTCTTGCTTTCTAGCTAGTCTTTAGATCTTCGGCTCAGCACAGCCGAACCTCCCTTAGGACTGGAGGTTTGCTTGCAAGCAGATTCAGTGCAGACTCACAGCAAGCAAATTTGAGAGACTGAGCTAGCTGATGGCAGACAGATAGATCACTGATTGATTCTGTGAGCAACTCAATCTGCCTGCTTTGCCTGATTTTGGGTAAAAGTTGCTCTTTTTTATAAAAAATTCAATATTTATATAAATATTTATAATATTTAAATACAAGCCATGCCCAGCCAGTCACATGACCACCAAGACACACCCACAAATTAGGCCACACCCACAGAACCAGTTAGTGGTCCCTGGGATCTAAAATTATGAGTTTGGTGGTCCCTGAGGTCCAAAAGGTTGGCGACCCCTGCTCTACTCCCCAGTTGTAAATCCTGTACAGGTTATACAAATTCAATACAAGAATTAGGATATTCAAGTTACATCAAAAAGGATTACTTGTACCAGCCCACCCCCCCATTCTTCTTCCCTTGAAGAATGGCAGTTACACAGATCTGACACCCACCTTTCTCCAACTAAGGATTCCCTAGAGCTTTCCCCAGATTTTTCAAAAGATCTGAAACTTAACTACAAACAGAAGGTTTGTTTGTATTTTTTTAAAAAAACCAGTTACAGCCATATCTTCTTTATATTTGTACAAACAAAGGGCCTCTCTAGATTTCAGATTTTCTTGAATATGTGTGATATGACAGATAAAAATGTATGAAAAACTCTTAATTGGGTGTATCTTAATACAAAAATTACATATTTTATCTGTAACTCTAAAACTTTGTTCAAATTAAGTTACAGAGATAAAATTGCTTTTTATCGTGAAGAATATTAAGTGAGTTATCTTTCTTGTTTTAAATCATGACCTTGGATTTTATAAATAACACCAAGTTAGGTTTCCTTGAAAATGCAATAAAACACAAGCCCAGCCAACACAGAAAAAGCAAAGTATGTGAATCTATATCTTCTCATGTCTGTTCATAGAACAGTAATCATTCTAAAACATCATTTAACATTATATGCCTTGATGGAATGAATTTAGTTCATACAATAATAATAAAAATATGAAATGTTTCATATATTATTACTAAGCAAAATAAATATATCCCCCCAAAATAAACAAATGTAAATGATTCTCTAGTGAAAAAAGATTCATGTGGCATTTCAAATACTTTAGTTTTGCTTTTATTTTCCTTCCAAGATATTTGTTCAACTTCCAAGACTTGTCAAAAGCCATGATAATTCCTAGATACCTCCAAATATTAAATATCAATTTAATGTAATATAAATTAAATAAAATATTAATTTTCAAAAAGCTAATCCTGCTTAGCTTTTTGAGATTACACAAGGTCAGTACAGCGATATACATTTTTAAAAAATCATTTATTCTGAGAGATTATACAGTTACCAAGTAATACCGTGTATGGGTTGTGAGCTGGGTCTTAAAAAATGTTATTAATAACTGAATAGATGTAGTTTAAAATGAAGCAAGTATAAATTATCCCAAGGATGATAATTCATAAAATTGAACCCAAGCTTCTCATTATAATGATTAATTGAAGATATACCTTATTTCTCTTACTAGTTGAGATTTTTTTAAAAATAAATTTTATTTGGGTTTTCACAAAACATAATACAAATAAAACATCTTTTTTTGAGAATAGCATGATCCTGGGTTATCACTTCTCCATACAGACACAAACTCAATTTCATATTCGTCTTTGTGTTCTATTCCATATCTGATTACTATTTTTACATTTTCTCCATAATTTTCTCCCCCCTTAGTTTTTTCAACTTTGTTTTTAATTATCTCATACCTATCTAAATTCAATTATATATCTTTTTCTAAGTTTCAATGTCTTTCTAATCATTATATTTATACTTTTGTCTGTCCTATTTCAATTTCATATTTTCTTTTCTCATTAAGTTTTCCCCTGTAGTTACTAATTGGAGTATGACACCTTTGTATCTTTTAATTTGTCCATTCAGCTCTTATTTAAACTTCAATTTATGCCTTTACAATTTATAACATTCAATATAACACATAACTTCCAATCGAATTCTGCTTGGTACATTCTTAAAATGCACACTATGTTCTTAAAGAGAAAATATATACAGTATATAACAATAGTAAATAAAACATCAATTTCAGTTCAGCTCTATCATTAATGTTAGTTACAATCTTTAACATTTCTTTTCAATTGAATATCATACTTCCTTAGGAACACTTATAATATTTCCATAATTTTTTCCCATATTTCTTTCATATTTCTCTTCACTTAAGTTTTTATAAATCATTAATAATAATTAAAATGTTCCCATCCTTTCAGTTTCATTCTCTCTTTCTTATTTATTAACAAACATTCCATTACATTACAGTAAGTATTTTATCTATAATTTTAATCACACTTGTTTCATATTTTCTAAGTTTATTTCTTTTCTAATACAATAATACTATCCTATGTACCCTTGCAGAATTCCTCTTTCAATTAAATTTCACCCATTATCTCTATGTCTTCTAAATAGGCTTATACCTTTAATCCTTGTACGTTTTCCCTGTTTCTCTATATCTTGTTTCTGTCCTTTATAACTTCTTTTCCTTTCCTTCTTCCCCTTTTTCTTCTCCTTCCCCCTTTTGACCCCTTGTCTCTCTTCTGTTTCTTTCTAGTATTGTAATTACTTTTCAAACTGTTCTTTTGGGGTGGGGGGGGTTGTTTCTTCAAATCTTAAACTTTTTACTCTCTTTCCCCCCTTTCCTTTTTTTCCCCACTTAAAATTACTTGGTCATTAAAGATGGCTTCTTCTTTGTCCTGCCCTTCTTGTTCTGCAAGTATTTCTTGTTGTTTCTCATAGTTCCAGATTTCCATTTCTAAAAATTGAAATATGAAGCCAAAAAAGCCTCTTCCTTCTTGTGCATCTTCTTTCTGTTTTTTAAGTTCCATTTTCAGTTCTTCCAAGAGTGATGCCATTTTAAACACTTTTAAACCACCCAATTGATTTTAGTCATTTAAATCCAATAACCCAAAATCCCAAAATCACCAAGCAATCCAAATAATCCAAAGCTGTTTCTTCTTGCTTCTTTTTTCCACTTTCTCTTCCTGAGGTTCTATTGTTACAACGTTTCAGTTAGAATGTATCTTTTAGGAATTTTGTTGAAGTTTTGCTGTAAATTCCTTTTACTTCCAGGCAGTCTCCTCCATTTTTCCAGATCCCGCCCTTTTATTTTTTCCTTTTCTCTCCTTCTTTTAAAGGTTTTTGAATATCCCAAAGTCTTTGTTATCCCTTTGACATTTTATTTTCAGCTTGAATGCCTATTGATGTCAAAGTGGATTTTTGTCAGTTACTTACTTAAATCTCTTAGCTGTCAATATGAGGAAGGAAAGAAAAAAAAAAGCCAAATCCTTTCCCTTCCCTCACTCCTTTGCCACTTCAAAATCTTCTTTGGGAACAATGTTATTCTTAATAGTTCAAATTCCAGGGTACCTTATGTTATTGCTTTTTCAGTTCAACCCAGTCAACCAAAACTTTCTCTTCTTCCTCCTGCACATTCTTTTCCGGTCGAGTTCTTCTTTGAGGTGGCCATTTCTGACTACTGCTACAACTGTCTTCAGGAAAGGGAGTAATGGCCAACTGGGGAGGAGAGATGTGGATCTCCTTGACCCTGCTGGCGGTCTCCCCCCTCTTCACCATCTCTACGGGATGGATTAGCCCCAAATCCAGCCGGCTTCGTGAGCTCCAGCAGTGAGCACAGATCTAAACCGCGCATGATCGTGGATTTCGGGCCGTCACCAAAACTCAAACCGGAAGTCCTACTAGTTGAGATTAAGCAACAATTTGACAGCTACTTTTTACTAACCAGATGTAATTCAACATTTGCTGTCCTGGCATGAGATTATATATATAATATAGATATATATAGATGTGTGTGTGTGTGTGTATATGTCAATATATTTGGCCAAACCACTTCTTACAGTTAGAGTCATACTCCTACAATCCTACACTTGCTTTTTGTAAGCAAAAGATCACTCCTAATTGTTCATATGAACATAATTCTTATAGAATTAGTACAAATTATTCTATAATACTTTAACTGTACTTTTCTATTATTCCTGTATTTTGGTTAATTTCTCCATTTTTATAAATGAGGCACTGAGGTGAAACACTAATGTGACCAATAAAATTATATTTAATGTGTAGTTTTAAATATTTTTATTCATATTTAGCATTATGTTCCAAAAAACTGCAGTGTAATTGCTAATCTAAATAATTTTTAGATCTTGGTTTATGTGAAATTGTCCACTTGGTTGAATTCAGTGTGGAAATGTGTGAGATTTATTAGTGGATGAATAGAAGTTAGCTCAGACAACAGATCTCTCTGCTTCTTTCTTCCTGCATTTCTCCCCCAAAGCTTCATGTAGATTATTGTGAAAACCGCTCAAAATACTGCAATTCTGCTTTTTAGATCTATAACTGGGGAAGACAAGATTTTCCTGAAATGTGACAGAATATTGGTTAAATATATGATTTCAACTATAGCCACACATCTCTCTCGGACAATGTCCCAAATATTCTGCAATTCTATTTTAAAGGCTGCTTATAAAAGAAAACCAAAGGAAAACTTAAATCTATACATGGATGCTATTACATCTAAAATTCTAACATATTAACTTTATACTTTCTGTCTCTTAATATTGTTTTTAGATATATGTAAGAGCACAATTTGAATATGATCCATCAAAGGATGATCTTATTCCCTGCAAGGAAGCTGGCATCAGATTTAGAGTTGGCGATATTATCCAGATTATTAGCAAAGATGATCACAATTGGTGGCAGGGTAAACTCGAGAATTCAAAAAATGGAACTGCAGGCCTCATTCCTTCTCCTGAGCTTCAGGAATGGTATGTTATTTGGCAATTGATAAAGATGAAAATAGTTTTCTTAAATTTTTAATAATTGAATTTGTCAGTATTTCATATTTTAAGCATTTGTGTTGTTGGTTGATAAAAAGAATGCTTGAATTAGGTAACTTGATTGGCTAGACTATTACTGAAAACACATAAGATATTTGCAATTGTATAAAGTAGTATGAAGTATTCATTAGGTCACTTGCTACAGAAATTTAGCTGACAGTTTCCCTAAGTAAAAAATTATATTTATCCTGATAAGAAGAGGTAGAGACAGATACTTGAAAACTTCTATGTAAATAAAGAAAAAAATTATCAGCTTTATCAAAAGTTATCTAAAACAATAAGGAAGCAAGAAAATGATCCTGCTATTGTTGTTCCATAACCCAGTTGATAAGATTTTTTAAATCTAATTTTTCACAAAATCCAATATGAACACCACATTGATTCAGGATAGAATGTACTGTTAGATCTCACTTCAAAGATAATTGGGATTGGCAATTCATCAATAAGCAATGCAGTCTTAAAATGTGATATTACATGAGTGCATTGATTTAAACAGCAGTTGTGGCAGTTCCAATTGCCATCATTAGGTGAATCCTAATTGTAATAACTGTAAGCTAATTGCCAGGTGCCTGAATTGCAACCAAGTGACCAGGTGGAATTCTACCGGTTTGGACCGGTTCTATAGAATCGGTTGTTATGATTCTGCACAGTTCGGAGAACCGGCAAATCGTGCCCCTGGCTGGCCCCTCCCCTCTCCACCCAGTCAGTCCTTATCGCAAATGCGCAACATCGCGTGCATGCCCAACATCACTGACTGAGTTCTTCCCTGCCCAGTCACTCCTTAAGGTATTTCCTTTTATTTTTTCGCTCCCGATGATCAGTTGTTCCTATGATCAGCTATGCCAGGATTCCTCTCACTTACTTACTGCTTTGCCCAGGAAACTTCCCTAAGGCCCCAAAATGGAGTGTGGGGGGGTGCCCCCCATGCTCCATTTCTTTTTCCTTTCTGAGCCCCAGGGAAGCCTTTTGGGAGCAAAAACGCCCCCTCAGGAGGCTTCCCTGAGGCCCAGAAGGCTGAAAAAAACGGGGGTGCTGCAAAAAAAAGAAGCCATGCCCACCCAGTCACATGGCCATGCCCACCTAGCCATGCCCACAGAAACAGTTGTTACAAAATTTGAATCCCACTCCTGCATGTAACTATAGATGGCAACTAAGAGGATTGTCTATTAGTGTTCTTATTCAGTGCTGTTGTAACTTTGAACAGTCGCTAAACAAGGATTGCCTGTATATGACATTGTAACTGCCATCTGCAAGTGTGCTAACTTCCTTTAGTTTAACTACTATTCCTGAAACAGCTCCAGACTCACAAAATACACTGACAATACCCATAGAATGTCTTTCTTAATGTTGGTGAATTTTTATTTGCACTATTTCCATTCATGTCTTAACATCCAACATTAAAAAAGATAAAAATGGTTGAAATAAAAGTGATGAGAATATTTCTGCTGGATACTATCATAGTAAAAGTAGCCAGTTCATTATAGTTGAAAAATATTCTTCCTATCCCCAACTTGATTTGCTAAGGTAGGTTATAAAGTATTATAAGTATTATTAAGTGAGAGAAAAGTGGTAAACTGTTCCAGACAACAAGTTATTTTTTATGCAAAAAGTTTCATCATATGGCATTTGTTTCATTGCAATCACAATCATTAAAACGGACTTTAAAGAAGTTAATTGCTTTTAATTTGGCCTGAAATATACAGTTCTTGTATTTTAGTTTCCTTTCTTAATTCAGAGCCTACACTATATTGAGGTGTAATATCTTACAAAGGTCAATTAATAGGATGTTGCCACAATATCAGTAGCTAAAGACATTTTTAAATTTTGTTCTCTGTAGAAAGAAAAACCCAATGATTACTTAGGTTTGTATTAAACAGATTGTCTGCAACACATTAATTCCCTTACTATCTTGGCAAACTGAAATGAATCCACTAACTCTAAAGAGGCAATAAACTATCTTATCAGTTAATTTCTGTAATTTGTTTATATATTATTTTTTTTGAGAATTGAATATCTTCCCACTTGTTACCCTCACAACATAATCCCATGCCTCAATAAATGAGAGTAAAATGGGTTTATTTGGGTAATACTTATATTATGCTGGCCCACCTAGCAATTCAAAAGCATGCAGATGTGAGTAAATAAATAGGTACTACTTCAGTGGGAAGATAACAGTATTTCATGTTTCACCACATGCTCTGCATTGTGGTGTAATGTCATGCTGGCCACATGACCATGGAATGTCTTTGGACAACACTGGCTCCCTTAGCTAAGAAACAGAAATGAGCATTGCCCCTTAGAGTCGGACACAATTGGACAGGGGAAATTTTTAACCTTTCACTATGTTACACTGAGCTTAGACCACTTCTAGGTCACAACTTCTTGGTTTCAGAAGAACTGCATCATACAATATAAATCCCTCTGGATCTTGATTCTATTTTGATAGCCTTCTTCTACAATGGCTGGGAAATCCTGATCTTAGCTTATTAAAAATAATTTCATAGTAACACAGTTGATCATTCAGTCTGCCAGGAAGTCCATTAGAATACTAGTGGAAGCAATGAATATACACAAATTCAGTTACCTCCCTGGTCTCTGATTAAGGAAAGTATACCCTGGCTATTTGTAAAAGCAAACATATCTACCTTGTAGATATATTTCCTGGATTCAATTTGATCAGTACTTGATGATAATTCAACTGAAGAGGTCAAATGAAGCTTAATTGATGCCATGTCTTTATATTGACAGAATATATGTATGAATATTGTCACAGAAGTTTTCTCTCTGTTTCTATCAGTTTTTAGCCATAACACCAGAAGTTTTGAGAACTGGAGAACATTCCACTATGACCTGTCTTAAATGACTAAAAAACAGGAACTATTACAGTGTTATTGCTATTCTACAAAGTTCTCAACCACTGCAGCTAATTTTATAGTCTCTTGAGTGGCTGATACATAAGGAAGGCTCTGTACTTTTAGAATACCCATTTAAAATTTCCATTTGAAACCTTGAAAATATTTTAAACTGTCTACGAGTAAAAAGAGGGAGGGGATATTATTTTCTGAATTAATGATACTAAAATAGGTCACCTATAATGTACAGCTGATAGTTGTTTCCTGTTCACTTGCAAGGCGAGTAGCTTGTATTGCTATGGAGAAAACTAAACAAGAGCAGCAGGCAAGCTGTACTTGGTTTGGAAAGAAAAAGAAGCAGTACAAAGACAAATATTTAGCAAAGCACAATGCAGGTAAGAAAAATACAAATCTATTTCAAATGTTCTTAAAATTGGTACACTGTTAATTTTTTAAACATTAATGTTAATTTTCCAGTGACACGTTTAGTTAGAAAAAAATTCAGTGTATTCAAACACATTTAACAAAAAAAGGAAATGTAATTATTAGCTAAAATAGTTAGTTATTTATATTTGCTTCTGGAGCAAAGTAAGTATTTTGGGCAAAAAATAGATGCTAAGTAACCTAAGATTTTGTGCATGAATATATTTGCAACTTAAATATACATTTCTGTCATTATTAATAATTACGCAGATGAATTAAAGAAACATAAATTTTATCATTTTATTTTTTTAATTCCTTCAGAGTTTGAGCATATTCTGTATTTTATTAAAACATAAATGAAACTATACATATTTTAAATCGATTCTGTATTTGGGTTTGGATTATTTTTAATAAATCAAAAAATGGCAACCATATTAGATAGCACTCCTTTGGAAGTTTATTTCTGTGAATAAATTGAACGGTGATATTCTGCTACTAAAGGAAATGTGTACTTGGAGATTTAAATAATACTATTTGTATATACTAAATATCTTTAACTGCCTTAAATGTGTGTGTGTGTGTGTGTGTGTGTGTGTCTGTGTGTGTGTGTTTATTTATTCCTTGAAAATTGCAAAATGTTTTGCTAAACGTTTTTTCCTCCAGACTGATCATTTATTCATTTGCTTATTTAATTCATCACATTTCTATAATGCCCATCCCACCCAGGTGACTGGATGATTTACAGTATAAACATGTCACAAAATATAAAAGCATTAATAAAAACAAAGATAAAAAAGAAAATTAAAAATAGGGTTATATCGTATTAAAAAGATGGAGAGAGCAGCCTCACAACACCAATCATCCCCAGGGTTGCCTAATACTCTTCAACCACCATACCAGTTGGCAGGGCCAATTCTTGACACACTTTCTGAAGGTCAGAAGAATGGGGGTCCACCTCACCTCTGAGGATAAGGTATTACAAAGGACAGGGGCAATGGCAGAGAAGGCTATCTTCTTGGATCCTATTAGGTGAATTTTTTTAACCAATGTTATCTGCAATATACCCTCCCTGCCTGATTGGATGATACATGGCAATATAATTGAGATGAAACAGTTCCTCAGATAACCTGTTCCCATACCAAGAAAGGCTTTAAAGATGATAACTAACACCTCAAATTGGACTCAGAAGCAAAATGGCACCCAATACAGCTTGTGTAGCAGAAATTATATGTGCAACCCTAGTGGCACCCAGAATTGCTCACATTATCACATTCTGCACCAGTTGCAGCTTCCAGATATTCTTCAAGGATAGCCTTAAGTAGAGCACATTGAAGTAGCCTATACAGGAGATGACCAGGATTTGAGTGACTGAAGGGCTTTGAATCCAGGAAAGGGTTAGGGTTAGGTTTAAGTCAAGCAAAGATCTTCCTAGTCATGACCTCCACCTGCTTCTAGACCAGGAGTCTTGAGTCCAGGATAACCCCCAGATTACACACTGGTCCACCTGTGACAATCCAGGACCAAAGATGATAAACCCCCAAATATAGAGGAGCATTTTACTCGTAGACACTCAGGCTTATCAGGATTCAATTGAAGCCTATTGTTTCCCATCAGCTCCAAGAACCATAAAAGGGTGCCCACAATATCACTTACTTCAGCATTTTAATGATACCTCAACCCACATAATGGATTATTTCACCCAGCAATTTCATGTAGATGTTAAAAAATAGCAGAAAGAATACTGAGCCTTACAATACTTTTAAACAGTGGCCACAGGCTAGACTTCTTGCTCCCTATCAACACTAATTGGGACCAGTTTTGGAACTAGCATAGAACTGTGTCCCCATCCCCAACTCTTAAGGTAGCCCCAAAAGATTTTGTGGTCACTGGTATCAAAAGCTCTCCCGCTCTTGTCATCTAGGCTTGAAACTAGAAGTGGACCTCATAATCTGTTTTATCCAGGATCCTCTGGACCAGGGGTGAGATTTTACCGGTTCGGACCAGTTCTATAGAACTGGTTATGATTCTGTGCAGTTTGGAGAACTGGCAAATCGTGCCCCTAGATGACCCCTCCCCGCCCAGTCAGTCCTTATCGCGCATGTGCGTCATCGCATGTATGCCCGACATAACTGACTGCGTTCTCCCCCCGACCCAGTCACTCTTTAAGGTATTTCTTTTTTTTGCTCCTGATGATCAGCTGTTCTGATGATCAGCTGTGCCGGAATCATCATCACTGTCTTACTGCTTCGCCGAGGAGGCTTCCCTGAGGCCCAGGAGGCAAAAAGGGGTACAGGCAGGGGGTGCGCTCTGTTTTTTGCCTTCCTGGGCCCCAGGGAAGACTTCTGGGAGCAAAAACGCCCCTAGGAGGCTTCCCTGAAGCCCAGGAGGCAAAAAAATGGGGGGGTGCAAAAAAAAAGAAGCCATGCCCACCTATCCACACCCCCAGAACCGGTTGTTAAAAAATTTGAATCCCACCCCTGCTCTGGACCTGCAGTGTGACCACTTTCTTAATCACCTTTCCTAAGAAGGAGAAATGAGAGAATGGATGAAAGTTACCCAGAATGTAGGGTCCAGCAATAGCTTCTTGAGAAGAACCCTAACCCAGTGATTTATTCATCATCATTAAGATCCATCTACATGTCACCTCCCAGGTAGCCTTGTACATCCAGGAGGAGCATGTATTTAAATCAGGGATGATCACACTTAACAAGTCCAAGGCCCCTATCCACTTCCTCAGGTCCAACAGAATCAGTTCTCCATATCTGGATAAGAATTTTCACCAGGCAACTCCAATGGACCCGTATCATGCTTGATCTCCAATTAAGAATGGATCCATGCAATTTTATTTGCCAGATGCTTTGAAAATTCCTCATCGTGGTCCTGAAGATAACCTCAGACTCCCCTTTACCCAAAAGGAAACAAGTGACTCTAAACAGGGCCACTGGGTAGCGCTCTGCAGATGCAATAAGAACAGAGGTGTATTGACATTTTGCTGCTCTTATTGCCATGAGGTAGGCCTTAATAGCTCTTAACTTGTGATCAATCATTCACCCTTGTTCTCTTCCAACAGAGTTCTAAATGTCTCTTGACCCTTCTCAACTCCTCTATAAACCAGAGGGAATACCAGGCACACTGCCCAAGGCCATCACTACCTCCCTAATCCCAGTAGCAGCCAAGCCTTGGCAGACAGAACCTCAGGAACAACCCCCAAGTCCCTTTGAAATCTCACCAGGTCCCTTAGTTGCTGGAGACCAATCAAATAAGTTGGGCCTCCTTGCAGAAGGGGATAGCATAGGAAAATCTCAAGGTCACCAGGGCATGATCTGACCATGACAGGATGGATAAGGAAAACTACTCTCAGATCACATTACTACTGATCCAACAAAAAAAAACCCATGTCCACTGTTCCAAGTGAAGATATGCTGATGGTAGCCATGAAATTCTGAGCTGCTTCTGAGGGGAGCTTCAGAAATGACAAATTGAAGTCCCCTGAGACCATAAATCTTGGGAGCTCCACTGCCAACCGTGAGATGACAGGGAAGGGGGTTGTTACACATCAAGGAGGCTGATACAGCAGCAACACTCCTAGCTGATCATGTGAGTCTATTTTCAGAAACAGGATCTCACAACCAGCAGCTTGTGGAACAGCATCAGCAGACTCTTTTTTTTTTTGTAAAAGTTTTATTTGGGTTTTCACAAAACATTAATGAAAATAGAACATCTTTTTTAGAGAATAGCATGATTCCAGGTTATCACATCTCCATACAGATATAATCTCAGTTACATATTTATCTTTGTATTTAATTTCATATCTTGTCACAATTTTATCAATTTCTCAATAATTTTTCCCTTCCCTTACAATTATGACATTCAGCTTCTAATATCTATTTTATATTATATAACTCTTATCAACCAAATTCCATTTGGTACTTTCCCTTAAAAATATACACTCAATTCTAAGAAAAGAAAAAGTATATAAAATGGTCAATGTAAAAATGGTTATTCTATTCAAATTCATCCTGAAAACTGATATTAATTTCATTATAAATCTTTCACATTTCTTTTCAATTGTATTTTATAAATCAATAAAAACAAAGTATTTTCATTCCTTCCTCTTCTTTCACTTTTATTCCCTTTCTCTATTTAATTTAATTGTTAGCAAGCATTCCATTACGTAACAATACCAGTTTTATCTTTCATTTTAATCACCTATATTTCCTATTTTCTAGCTTGTTACTATTTCTAATATAGCAACACTATCACTTGTACCCTTGCGGAATCTTCTCTTTTAATTTGTATTTTTAACCATTATCTCTGTGACTTTTAAATACGCTAATACCTTTAATCTTTGTACGTTTCTCCTGTTTATTTCCTGTTTCTGTCCCTTATAACTTCTTTTCCTTTTTATCTTTCCCCTCTTTTCCTCACCACCTTTTTCTGTCCCCCTCTCTCTCTGATTTTCCCTTCTGTAATCCTCTCTTCTGCTTCTTCCTAATGTTATGTTTACTTTTCAAACTATTTTTTTAGTTGTTTCCTTAAATCTTGTGTTATCAACTCCTTTTTCTCCCTTTTTCCATTTTACCCCCCATTGCATTGTTTGATCATTAAAGATGGCTTCTTCTTTGTCCAGCCCTTCTTGTTCTTCAAGCATTTCTTGTTGTTTTTCATAGTTTAAAATCTCCATTTCTAAGAATTGATGTGCGAAGCCAAAGGATCCACCTCTCTCTTGCAACTCTTCTTTCATTTTTTAAGTTCCATTTTTAATTCCACAAGTAGTACTGCCATTTTTAACACTTTTTTTTTAAACAAGTTTTATTGATTTTACAAACAAACAAACAAGACAAAACATCATCAAACATTAAAAACATAAAACCTCTTTCCATTGTAGATCCTTACAAGGCAGGTAACATATTGCTTTATATCACATACTTATAATTTATCCCATTTCCATATAAACACGTAAATTCCCTTT